GAGGCACCAGATTGAGCCTTTTCACATCCCTGCTGCAAACCACGGAACTGTTAGAGCTCTTTTAAAAAGAGAGAGAGAGAGAACTTTTGTAAAGGGAAGTGGTAGGCAGCTCAATGTAGGGGTTGCTATGGGCTTCCCCTAGAATATCTGAATGGGATCCCAGCAGCAGTCTGCAGGGTAGCCCAACTGATAGTACAGGGGCTCTCGCTGTGACAACGTGTAAGTGGGCTAAGTCTGCCTTGTCTCTAAAGATGCAGTTTCCTAAACATTAGTTTGGCAACTCCTGGCTCTGAGTGACTCTTGCCAGAATGTCAGAACATGTGTCCTACTGTGTTGGATCAGAAACTAAATATAGCAGTGTGGAATGGACCAGGTCTATGCATTATGGGACTGTTTCCTGTTCCTTCCCCGCACTCCTCTCAACACTGACACTGTGCGGGAAATGCATCATTATTCAGATTAAATACCTGCCATGTCTGATGGTGGAATTTCCATCAAAGAAAGAGGAAGTTGTTTTTAAATAAAAATGTCTAAATAACACAGTCCCTGTCTAAGCCCCCTGTCTCAGACTCTTTTGGCCTATATAATAACAGTGACATGCAGCTTGTTCACAAAAGGAAAAAAAGTGAACAGAGTTAGGTTAGTACAAACAATGGGTTTTATATCTTTTGAAAGAAACTGCTCCGGCCATTGTAGGAAGCCGGCTCCCGGCAGCAGCGCCGGGGAAGCCTGTTGCACTCAGGGATACAGACTGGAAGGGAAACCCGTGGAGGGCTTTAAATGTTTCAATTTTACATCCTAATGAACAAAAGCAAACAAGGGATAGATCTGGTGGGTGATTCCATGAGCAGCTGCCCTTCCATGTAATGTGCCCACAGCTGCACCCACAAAGACACACTTGCAGCGGGGCGAGCCGGCCCACTCCATGTATGTGCCTGGGCAGGACCCCCTGCCTCCTGGGACACAGGCTCGATTCTGATCCCTGGGGTGAACCAATAACTCAGGGCCCAGTGCCGCCTCTTCTCCCCTTCCCATGATCCCACCACTTGCTCCCTGGGCAGTGCCTGGGTGCAAAACAGTGACAGAAGCCCCACTTTTGAACATGCCCTGCCCCCACTTCTCAGGCCCTGCCCCATCCTCTCCTAGCTATGCCCCTGCTCACCGCCCCATTTCCTCAGCCTCACTCGAGCTCCGGTCCCCTGACATTGCTGGGAGAGCCGGAGTGAGCAGTCGCGCCCCTGAGACTCTGCTGCCAGCCCTGCCATGGTCTCAGCTGTGCGCTGCTCCCCTGGCCCCCCGGGGGCTCCTGACGCTGCTGTTGCTGCCCCTGCCTGGAGCTCGCGGTGAGTGGGTCGGGGTGGGAGATGGGGGGTGGCCCCTGCCTGGGCACAGAGTCGCCTCGGTCCATCCCGTCCCCCCACATCGGTGCCGGGCTGGGCGGGGACCGGAGCCGCAGTGGCTCCCCCGGGCCCTTTCCATCACACAGGGGCCTGGTCCCTGTCCCCATCCAGCCCCTCAGCCCTGGCCGCATCAGACTCAGGACAAGGGGGCCCGAGCCCCGCAGCAGCGACAGGTACCCGCTGCCCCACCCTGGCCCCTGGCACCACACCTCTGCAAGCCTTGGGCCTCCGGGAGCGCTTCTGCCTGGGAGGCTAAACTGTGTCCCGTTGGTGAGAGTGTTAATGGCCAGGGCCTGCTTCTGGGGCCTGGGGATGCCTCCTGTCCATGGTTGGAGGCAGGCTGGGGAGAAAGAAAAAGCCACTTAGAACAGCAGGTAAAGGTGCGGCTGCTGTGTCTGACCAGTTTCAGTAAAACGAAGTTTGGGGTGTAAGACTCCTAAGATTATAAAATGAGTTCTCCTGTTGTAGCCTTAGGTTTGTGACTGTACAGAAATCGATTAAAAACTTCATTAAAGCTAATGTTAAAATGATCTAATACACAGGTTAATAAAAGAGCATCTGTACATCTGGGTATAACGCTTAAATTATCCAAAAGTACAAAATTCGGTTTGAAAGTCATAAGGTACATATAGTACATAATTTGCAATATCCTAAATTAAGGTTAATAAATCAGTGATACGGTTAAGGTATTAGTATCCAATTCTTCGGGTACATTGCTCATAAAAGTTTATGCTAAGAGTAGCTTGTGGAAAACATATATAGCAACGAGTGAAGATTGTCCCTCAGTAATTGAGAATTTAGGATCGGTTGCACCTTAGACAATACAATACAGAACATCGGGAAATATTTCAGTTACTTTCCTGACTTTGCTTCTCATTGGCACTTGTCCTCATGCTGGTCATACAGGTTCCATGCATCGCATGAGAAATATGAAAGTCAACTGTCTCAGAGAGAGCTTTCCACCAGCTCTTTTCACTTGTTTCTAAACCCATGTTTCATGTACTCTTCTATAGATGGCTCCCTTGGTCTCCTTTGCCCTGTACGTCACCTTCTTTCATGTCACTCAGTATGGTTGCAACATTCTCTCTGAACCTGTGCTGCGTTAGATCATAAGCCCTGTGAGGTGGAGGAATGTCCTGTTTTGCACAATGTACTTACCTTACATTACCAGACATGCTCAGGGTGAAGGATACATGGTAAATAATGTAAAATTTGAATGTACTGCAGTTTTGTATCAAGGCCATTCAGTGAACTAGCTTCAAGGCTGTAATGAAAAGAAGTACATCCAAATTGTCCCCAATAAAATCATTTGTAACTTCTGAAAAACAAGTATTCTGTTACAACAGACGACTGACTATCTTTCATATTGTAGTTAACTTTTCCCCTTCCTTGTCTGTCTCTATTGCCAGGCATTTGTGATTCTCCTCCAAGGTTGAGTTTTGCTGAGCTGCCTGGGGTAGTGAACAATTCCTATCCTGCTGGGACCCAACTGAAATACTCCTGTTGCCCAGGATATGTTTTGCGCTCTGGAAAGTCTCCTGTAGTTACATGTCTTGCAAATTCAACATGGTCAGTAGACCCTGAGTTTTGTGTAGGTGAGTGTCTTTGTTGCTTTTCCATTTCAATTGATATGCCAGCTATCTTAACACAGTTAGGAATCGCTCTTCTATTGGGTAAGTGGTTCACAGTTCAACACTGGTATCCATAGACACTTTCTAAATACATTTTGGACAGTTCTTTGTTATATTAGTAGTTGACTTTAAAAATTGTAGGTTGCTTTAAGAGCAGCTAAAATACAAAATTCCAGTGACTGCAGCCTGCAACCGTATGTTATTAGCTTGGGACTTGTCTACATTTCTTCTCCTCTTGGATACACTTGCAACGTTGTCTGTGACCAAGCTGCATACTAGACATTTGTATTTTTTCCCCACAGTTTTGTTATAGCTTTTATTGCTACTTCTTGTACGTGTTCTGCTGTGTGTTCATTTCCTGATGCATCAGTTGTTTCTGTAAGGAAGACATTCCCTTCTTCTATTGTCACACAAGTGCATACAACAGGATCATTGTGGACATTGCTCACCCATCAAGACTCCGGTTAACAATTTTAACCTCTAGACCTTTTGCACGCTGCTCAATTTCTCTTTTATACACTTTGTCCAGCAATTTGCCTGTGACATCTGCTCTGTTGTGTGGACTTTATCCTGGTCTTAATGACTGAACCATGTTAATGAAGTGTGGGTTCTCAATCACACTGAAAGGAGAATGTGTTGCATAAACAAGGAGGGCTTTAAACTAGGTTCGACGGGGACAGGTGAGCAAAGCCCACAGGTAAGTGGGGAACATGGAGACCGGGGAGATGGGTCGGAAACGAGAGGGAGTGTGGGCTATATTGGCAGAGAGAAAGGAGAGTCAGGACAAAACTGGGAGGAAAGATCAAACCAGTATCTTAGATGCCTATATACAAATGCGAGAAGTATGGGGAATAAGCAGGAAGAACTGTTAGTGCTAATAAATTAACCCACCTCCGACATTGTTCCCATGACTCAAACTTGGTGGT